TCTAATCTTTCCTTATTTATTTGCCGGTTTTGACCTTCAATCCCTTGAATTTCACTTTCCGCATTCATTTGACTTTCTTTGAACACATTTTGACCAAGCTCACTTAGTGCCTTTCGTGGTGATTCAGGAACGTCAGTTGCTAAAAATCCTTCACCCATATCAAATGATGATGCTACTGTAAAATCGCCAAATGTTTCCATAGGTTTTTCGGCTTGATCAGTTTTTTCACTATTTTCATAGTCTTTTGGTTCGGGCAGTGGAGAATTTGTAACAAGCAACAATGCACTAAAAAATCTATTTAACCCTTCTTGTTGCATGACTGACTTGGAACGTTCATACGAAGCTAAACCTTGTTGGGTCTTGTGGTGTGTGATGGACATTACAACCGAATCGGAATACCCCAACCCTTTTAATACTTGGACAGAGGTCTTTTGACCTGAATGATTAAAGATGATTCTATCGCCGATTGTTATACCCGTAGTCTCACAAATATCATGAAAGTAACCTTTCAATGTATATTCAGGCAATGCACGTGTATAAAACCATTGTATACTAAATTCAACTGCAATAAAAAAATTTTTTTTATTAATTGAAAGATCCAAATATTACATTTTAATAAATTACAATTAAAATTGTTATGAGCTACGGGAACCTAAACTAAATCATAAATTTAAAAAAAACTTTTGAACTGGGAAACTGCTTACTAGCATTTGGAGTACAAGGCTTCAAATAAAAATTCGTAACAGCAGTTGCAGGATGTTTTGTGAAATAAAATTCATAATCATCAATAATAGTTTTGACGTTGGATAAACTTATCGCCTCAGCTTGTCCATCACGATTATCCAAACCCCTTTGATTCATCTTCGACCTATATAACCTAACGTCTATGCCATCATCAAACCATTTTACAAAGTTACTGATCCTCAGATCTTGATGCTCACCACCACGTAGAGCAAGTAAAATTGAATTATAAAAAAAAATACGACATAATAAACCTTCAGGAAAGTCAAATGAATGCGGAAAGTGAAATTCAAGGGATTGAAGGTCAAAACCGGCAAATAAATAAGGAAAGATTAGA